TTCAAGATGGCATGGGTGGGTAAGGACTGGGTGACATTTTAAATAGCTTTCCAATCTCCTCAGGACTTATTTTATTAGTTTTGCATTGAGAGTGAGTAGGATCATTCACGACCCTTGGCCTCTCCCATCGCCCTGGTAACGAAGACCTTCTCTGCCTCATGGCCACGGTGGCTGCTCTACTCTCTCGTGGAGAAGTTACGGTGAGCTCGCTGACCACCCGCCAGAGACCGCGCTGGCCTGGGCTCAAGAAAAGGGAAACAGATTGTAGCAAAAGGCTCACCACAGACTCTGGGGTGGGTGGGTAGGTGTTCACTGTGAAATTCCTTCCACTTCGCTTCCTATTAAAATGTTTTCACAATAAATTATTGTTATAAAATAAGTCAAACTTCAAATGGGCATTTTGGGCATTCAGCCCGCAAACCCCGAGTCACAGTCTCAGTGGGAGACACGGGCAGCGAGCCTGGGAGGCCCCGTTTGCAGAAAGCCTCGCCCACAGGTGTCCGCCAGCCACAGGGCTGCCTGAAGGAGCAGGCGGCAGTGGGACTGCCCTGGCGTGGCAAAGGCCGGGGCCTGCGGAGACGTCTCCATGCGGATTCGTTTTGGCACTATGGTTCAGACCAAGTCAGAGAACGGGCAGCAGCCGCTGTGTTTGCCAGCTCCGAGTGAGTGCGGCAGTGGCTGCCAGGGCTGACCAAGCAGGCCCCAGCCTGTCTGCACCCAGACAGCCCTACCAAGAATTGATGAGTTCTCTCCTCTGCCAAGTAGTGAAGGGCAGTGGCTGCCGTCTGTCCCTGGGTCACGGAGCTGGGCTTGCATTCTGGCTCTGTGAGTGAGTGGTTCAGTGACCTGGTCAGCTTCACTTATTTCTCTAAGCTTCACTGCCTCGTCTGTAAAATGAGCGGTTGGTTCCTGAGAAGAATACATTCGATTAGTGGTTCTGAGTTAGGGCGATTTTGTCCCCCAGGGACATTGGGGGAAGGAGTGACTGGCTACAGCCCAGTGGGTAGAGGCCAAGAAGCTGCTAAGCATTCTATAATGCACAGTACAGCCTCCACAGCATGAAATGACCCAGCTGAAAGGGTCAAAGGGCCAAATCTGAAAAACCTGACTTAGAGGGTGCGAGTAACACCCAGCACAGGACCTGTAACACTGTGCAGTGCAGGTCTGCCACCTCTGCCACCACCACCACCACCACCACTGTCATTGTCATCATCACCACCATCACCATCACCACCATTACCATCACCATCACCACCATCACTACTGTCATTGTCCTCATCACCATCACCACCACCGTCATCACCATACCATCACTACCACTATTGTCATTGTCATCATTAGCATCACCACCACCACCACTGTCATTGTCCTCATCACCATCACCACCACCGTCATCACCACCATCACCGCCACCATCACTACCACCACCACTACTATTGTCATTGTCCTCATCAGCACCACCACCACCATCATCACCATCACCATCACCACCACCGTCATCACCAACGCCACCGCCACCATCACTACCACTATTGTCATTGTCATCATCACCATCACCACCACCATCACCATCACCACCACTACCACCACCACCATTGTCATCACCATCATCACCACTGTCATCACCACTATCACTGCCACCATCACTACCACTATTGTCACTGTCTTCATCACCATCACCACCACCACGACCACCATCACTGTCACTGTCATCACCATTGCTGTCACCATCACCACTGTCATCACCACCTTCACCATCACTGTCACTGTCATCATCATCACCACCATCACCATCACTGTCACTGTCGTCATCACCATCGCTGTCACCATCACCACCATCACCATCACTGTCACTGTCACTACCACTTTGGTCAGCAGCAGCAGCACTGTTAGCCTTGGAATGCCCAGGACCCAGAGGCGCACAGGCGGGAGGCCCTCACAGGGGACACAGCCTCGTGCAGAAGACCGAAAGGTCAACAAACACTAGCTCTCAGTTCTTTTTCTCCATCGCATGTGTCATGATTGGAGCGTGTGCATTTATTTCTTTGCTGACGTGTTCATCTCGGTCAGGTCCCGGGCAGAGGCTGCCAGTTTTCTGTGTGTGTACGCTCAGTGAGGGCTGCACGTGAGCGGGACGGGTCCTGAGTGAACCAGACGCTGGCTCTATAGACGCCGGGACCCTGCAGAGAACAGAGAGAGGGAGCGCAGGGCATAAAGCTCCTCCCTGCGGCAGCCCGGGGGCTTCCAGAAGCAGACGCGCCGGGGCAGGGCGAACAGGAAGAGCCGGGCCTGGGCGGCACTGGGCAGGCGTTCCAGGAAGAGCGCCCTCCTGGAAAAACCTCCAGAGAGGAAGAGGCCTCTCCGAGTCCAGAGCCGGAAAGGAACTCGGAGAAGAGCTAGCGGGGGTCACGGGCAATTAGGACGCCAAGCTCCCTGGCACCGACTCCGGGCGGTGAGACCAGGCCATGGAAACAGCACAGCGCGCCTTGATTCTAAGGAAGGCCAGCGACAGAGGGCCGTGAACACAGATTCCTCCCCCACACACGCTCATCCCCCAACACCCCCCATCGGGCCAGGAGCGTGGCCCCAAACAGCCAGCCCACAGGCGATGGGTCTCTGACGCCATTCTGTGCCATACACCCCATTACAACAATGCTCTGTCCCGCCCAACCGACACCCTCCCACCGTGTCTTCCAGGAAAACTGAGGCAATGCCAGCAGGAACAGCCCCTGACACGCAGACAGCACCCTGCCTGCATTGAACTCCTGTAACCCCCGCCACAACGTGATTGGGTGCTGTCAGCACCCCATTTCACAGAGGCACCCAGCACCCCACACGGGGCAGCCCCACACCTCGACGGGGGGAAAACGACAGAGCTTTGCTTTCCCACGCTACCGTCTCCCTCCTACAGACAGCACCAGCGGGGGAGTCTGGAGTCCGGCTCTGCTAATGCCAGCTGGACGGTCTGGGCACGGACCTCCTCCATAACCTACTTCCTCTCGGGTGGAATGGGGGTAAGGACGCCCCTCCGCAGGCTGTGTCCAAGGTGAACTCTGAGAGCAGAGTGAAAGCACCAGGCTCCGCGCGGAGCACACAGGAGACCCTCAGAGGAAACAAACCTGGAAAACAAAAGACCCGCCCCCGGTTCTCAAACCAAGCCCGTCTCGGAACCCCTGGCGAACGTCTCTGCACCAGAGGGAAGAAGGGATGACCTGAATGAGTGTAGGCCCTCGGGGGAGGGAAATCGTGGCCTGGGCCCCCGGCCAGGCTGCCGGGGTCAAACTGGAGGGCAGGAAACTGCGTGCTTCCTCCTCCTCAGGACGCTGTGCTCCGGCCCAGACACCAGCTTCCTCCAGCTGACCCACCCACTTCCCCCAGAACATCCCACCCGAGCCAGGAGCCACGGGGAAGAGGCCAGCGGTCCCGCTGGGAAAGATGGGCACCTCCTGCCCAGTCCCCTCTGACTGCCCCCTTGCTCAGCTCCCACCGCCTCCCCACAGAGGCCAAAGCCTGGCTCTTGCCCACAGACCCGCCCCTCTCCAATGTCTCAGGCTGCTGCTGGAGCCAGTGGGAGACGGACTGGGGAGCTGGACTGCTGATCCTCGGCCATGGCCCTCGTTTGGCCTCTTATACCTTTCCTTAGACCCCTGATGGTCATCCTGCTTCTAGCCTGGGTACCCACTGCGAGCAAGTGAGTCAGTTCAGATGCCACTCCCCTCCTCCAGCGCCTTCCATGGCTCCCACTGCCCCTGAATCAAGGTCAGAGTCCATACCCTGAGATTCACCGTCTTCCACAGACAGTCCAACCCCACCCTCCGGTCAGTCCCCACAGGGCTCACAGGCTGGAGCCACAATGGATGATGCCCAGCTGTGCACACACATTTCTGAGTCTGTAAGTGTGAATTCACCTCTCCCGTCTCCACCTCAGTGGATCTTACCGGACTCTCTCATGAGCCCTCTCCTTTCCTGGTCTCTGAATCCCTCTGCCACAAATAGAAAACCATATCATCTGCCATAGACAGAAGGCAAATTGAAGAAAAAACTTATGCTCAGCCCTAACCAGTTTGGCTCAGTGGATAGAGCATCGGTCTGCGGACTGAAAGGTCCCAGGTTCGATTCCGGTCAAGGGCATGCACCTTGGTTGCAGTTACGTCCCCAGTGGGGGGTGTGCAGGAGCAGCTGAATCAATATTTCTCTCTCATCGATGTTTCTAATTCCCTATCTCCTTTCCTCTCTCAGTTAAAAAAAAAAAAATCAATAAAAATATTTTTAAAAAGTTATGTTCAAATATACAGGAAAATAAACACAGTCATTGAAATGTTTTCAATGCTCCTATTTGTAGCAAACTTAACATTCTGTGTCATATGCTTCCACTCTTCTCGCCGTCTAAGAAATGCTGCCTTGCGCTTTATCTGCTTTATCTTTGCCTCCTCCTGGCCCTGTCTCCCAGGTACCTGGGGACTGGTCACGGTTTTGTTCTGGTTGACCCCAAAGAGCCCTTGCGGGGCACAGATCCTGCAGCCCCTCTTCCGGTGCCTACACACAGCATGACACGCAAGAAAAATATTTGTGCAGCAGAATATTCCAACTTGCTCAGTCACATTAACGTGGTCCCATTCTCTGTCGCCCCCCCCTACGCCCATCTGACGTCCAACTTTTTACCAAAACACTATCCATGCCCTCCGCGCACTACCCCCCAACCAACTCCTGACCCCTGGGTCTCTCGGAGCACGCCCCAGGAAGTGCAGCAGCTGTCGAGGAAGTGCCGGGACGCCCCCAGATCTTCTCAGACCCCTGCTGCCTCTTCCTCTGAAGCAGCAGGACCCGCAGCCAGGAAAAGCAAGCCTCGGGTCAACCATTAACCAGCTCTCCCCTGCAGACACACACCCTCCCCGGGAGCCAGCGAAGTTCTGGGAAACCCTGTATGAACGGGGCCCCGGCTCCAGGAACCACAAGTCCCCTGCCTGCCCCCTCGGGGCCAGAGACCCCAAAACACCTACCGGGAGCAGAAGGGGGCCTCTCCCGGGCCTGCCCCGCCGGTGCCCCCGACGGGAGGGGGAGGGCCTCCCTCCCAGCGCCCAGTCGTCAGGGGGACCCTGATGAGGATCTGAATCACCGGACTTAAGTCAATAAGTGGCGCCGCACCGGGAAGGTCCAGCTGGAGCCAAACCAAGGCCTGGACTCTCCCTGGAGGACGGAAGCCGGGCCAAGGCCGGCCACGGCCCACGTGCTGGAGGCCGCGGCCCCTGCCGGCACCGTCTTCCTTCAGGAACCGGCCCCGGGCATTGCTTAGCGGAGGGAGGCCTCTGCTGGGGACGGCTGCTTCCTTTTCGGGATATTTTCCTGAGTCTGGCCACATTGCAGACCTCCAAGGTTTTTGGTTAGGGTACACAGCGTGAAAGGTCTCCTCAGTATTTGCAGTATTTATTCCCAGCGGACATCCTGAGGCCCCAGTGGGCAGGACACCGACCCGATTAGTTAGGTGTGGCTCTCAGGAAGGAGGTAAACTGAGGCATGAATGATGTGACCAATGACATAAGTAGAACCTCCCAAATGCAGCTCAAGGGGGACAAGGATGATGAAGCGAGCCTGTGCATAGTAGAGGGTGTGGGGGGGGGGGGGCGTGGGGGGACTGCTCCCAGCACCTGCCTAGAATGAGAAGGAAGAGGCCAAGGCCTCCCATGGGGACATTTGCATAGTGTAAACAAGCTAACGACAGAAAAAATGCTGTAGTGATAAAACAAACAAGCACACACCACCACATCCGGCAGCCTATGCCCCAGGGAGAACCAAAGCAGGTGCTCCTGAGAGGGACAGATCGGCAACATGGCAAAGAGGTCCTCAAACTAGGTTCCCAGGAGCCCAAGGGGTGTCATGCACCTCTCTGGGGGCTGCTGGCGTGGACCAGGGAGGAATAAAGGGGGTGGGTGTATTCCCACCCAACCCAGAGCCGCTCTGCTCTTGTCTGCTGCACAGACTGGGCTTCCAGGGAAGTGTCCCTGGGAGAAAAGCTTCTGTGTCTAAAGGTGTGTGATCCCGGCTGTGTCCAGGAGAAGGACGTGACGTAAGTCATCTCTGAGCTTGTGGAAAGCAGCCACCACAGACCCCCGTGAGCTGGGAGCCAGCTGGCCCTTCTCCCGGAGCCGCGCTCTGACCTCAGGAGAGCAGGGGCCGAGGAGCTGCCGGCAGGGCTGGCCGGGCCCTGGCCCTTCCTGGGAGGCCCCACAGCTGGGTCCAGGAATCAGATGCAACAGCTCCCATCCCATCACTCTCCCGGCAAAACTCCCAGAGTGGGTTTGAACATGAAAGTAGGTGCCAAACGACTTAATACATCCAGGGAGCAAAGGCAGGGTGCTCTGCCCAGCCGGCCTCCACCCTCCAGGGCCACACTCGGCTCTCCTCTGCCTGCCGGGGGCCCTCACCCCATCCCTGCCCCATCAAAAATCTGCTGCCTCTCCCTCCGCAGCCCAAACCCAGCCCCGGCCAAGCTCCACCTTTCCTGCTGCAGCTGCTCCTGCACCCGGCACAGCCCTGAGAGCACCCCAACAATGCTGCCTCCTCTCACCGCCAGCCCATCTCGCTGCTGCCTCTCCTGAGCCCTAACCCACCCCCTATCCCCGCCCCCAGATGTCCCTCACCCCCACCTCTCCCTTCCAGACCCACAAAGGGTGCTGGGCTCCCCTTCCCTCTGGAGCAGCCCCTGTCCCCTCCCTCGGGCACTGAGCATTTGCCACCTTATGTTTTGTTCATGTCTTTATCTTCTACTGGGCAGTCTGCATCTGCTCCATCTTCACGCTCTGTTCATTCTCCCATTCATTCGTTCATTCATTCATTCATTCATTCCACAAATAGGCCCTGCGCGCCTCTGACGTGCTGGACGCCGGGCGAGGACCGAGGACACGACGAGGAGCACGCCGGGCGCCGTCCCCGCCCCCCGAACCCACGTCTTGGGGGGAACGCTCACCAAACAGACATGAGGAACTGCGTCAGCACAGGCTGTGGTGCAGGCTGCAGGGGGAGGAGCGGGCGGGGGCGGGGGAGAGACAGGACCTGGGAGTTCCGATGTGGAGGGAGAGTCGGGGAGGGCCGCGCTGAGGAAGTCAAGTAAAACGGGGGTCAGAGAGCTGGGCAGACTGGGCCAGGCACCCTTCTGGGCAGGTAACAGGCTCAGTGTCTGTGTGCGAGCGGGTGGCTGGGAGGAGTCAGAACCCCCAGTGGTCCCCTCCTCTGCAGACAAGCTCACCGCCCTCCTCACCCGAGAGGTCCCTCCACTGGCCCTGGGGGGGTGGGGGTCCCAGCACACACACCTCCGACAGTCCGCAGGACATTCTGCCGATGTCACCCTGCAGAGGGGGCTCTGCCCATGAGCCCCAATAGGGCCCCCTCCCCACTCCCCACCCTCCAGTGTGGAAAAGGCAAGTGGGCTTCGTCCTGCGTGCCGGCTCCAAATCACGGCCATGGCTGCCCGGCCCACCACGCTGGGACTGCGTGGCCCCCTGGGCCTTGTGGGAACCAGTTGTGCATGATCAGTGGGTCCACCAAAGGAGCAAGAGGAGGAGGAGGAACAGGAGGAGGAGGAGGAGGAGGAGGAGGATTGGCAACAGGAGGAGGAGCAGCAGGAGGAGGAGGAGGAACAGGAGCAGCAGGAGCAGGAGCAGAAGGAGGAGGAGAAAGAGGAGGAGGAGGAAGAGGAGGAGGAGCAGGAACAGGGGGAAGAGGAGCAGGAGCAGAAGCAGGAGGAGGAGGAGCAGGAGTGGGAGCGGGAGTGGGAGGAGAAGGGGGAGCGGGAGGAGAGCGGGAGCAGGAGCAGGAGGAGGAGCAGTAGCAGGAGGAGGAGCGGGAGGAGGAGCGGGAGGAGGAGCGGGAGCAGGAGGAGCGGGAGTGGGAGGAGGAGCGGGGGGAGGAGCAGGAGTGGGTACAGCAGTGGGAGTGGGAGCAGGATTAGGAGGAGGAGCAGGAGCAGGAGGAGGAGCAGGAGCAGGAGGAGGAGCAGGAGCGGGAGGAGGAGCAGGAGCGGGAGGAGGAGCAGGAGCGGGAGGAGGAGCAGGAGCGGGAGGAGGAGCAGGAGCGGGAGGAGGAGCAGGAGCGGGAGGAGGAGCAGGAGCGGGAGGAGCAGGAGGAGCAGGAGCGGGAGGAGGAGCAGGAGCAGGAGGAGCAGGAGCGGGAGGAGGAGCAGGAGTGGGTACAGCAGTGGGAGTGGGAGAGGGAGGAGGAGCAGGAGGAGGAGCGGGAGGAGGAGCAGAGGAGGAGCAGGAGTGGGAGCGGGAGGAGCAGGAGGAGGAGGAGGAACAGGAGCAGGAGCGGGAGCAGGAGTGGGTACAGCAGTGGGAGTGGGAGAGGGAGGAGGAGCAGGAGCAGCGGTGGCGTCGGTGCCACATATTTCCTTCCCCCTCGGGCCCACAGTGACCACCCAGGCGAGAAATCTCCTCCCGGTCTAATTGCCCGGAAAAGCTGGGCGTCTGGCTTCCTTTTCATTATGGGCCCCGTGAACCGTGTACACAATATTTTTTTCCTGTTTTGATTGCTAATTAGCTCGGAGCCAAATCCGCGGTTCACATAGAGTACACCGCCTCCAGCTCTGAGGCCTGGGGATGCACTCACTCTCACCCTGGCGCTGACCTTCCAGCTCCTCTGCATTTCTCCTCCTCTTACTTTTATGGGTTTCTGTGTAATGACACACACACAGACACAGGCAAACACATAGAACATCTCTACATGGAGTTCTGGCACACAGCACCTATTTCACCTTCCTTTTATAAACACATATTTCTGTATCTCTTACATGTCCAAGCAACAGACAGGCCTTCTGTGGGCATCCTGCCCCCTCTATGGAGAAGACCAGGGAATGAGTGAAGAGGCGGGTGGATGAGAGACAGGAAAGAACAGGGGGAAAGGCCGTCTCTGCCAGAGAGGATTCAGAACCTCACGCGCTCGGCGTGAAGAGTCTGGGAGCAGAGGTCAGAAGCCCGGCTCTCGGCCCCGCTCTGACAGCTACTGACTGTGAGGGGAAACGTGGCTCACACCCCGCTCCCCACGGCCAGGCGGCCTGAGGTCTCACCGGTGTCCGGCCCCCTCGCCTCACTGGGCCGGAACCGAATGGAACAGAGAGGCCTGCCCGCTCGCCGGGGTCACCGGGGCCAGGCACAGCCATGGGCTCTCCTCCCTCCCGGGGCGGCGAGCGAGCGGGCAGGCGCACAGCTGTCCGCGGGAGGCCACCTCGCCACGTGGCCGCCCCTCCACGCCGCAGGAATTCCCAGAGAAACGAGTCTTCAGAGGCCTTCTCTGCATGCGGCCTTCCTCCTCGTCCCTCTCTGACGTCTGAGAGCACTGAGCACTGGGACGGCCCCACTCCCATTTCCTGCTTCTCACAGGATCAATCACACAGCTCAGGGCTGCAAGTGGCTGCCCCTGCCCCATTCCCGCCCAGCAGCCTCCTGACCACAGTGCCCCCTGCAGGAAAACAGTGCGCACGGCACGCATCACCTGCAGGCCCGCTGACAGAGCAGGAGCTGCGGAGGAAGGACATGGGGAGGTCCCTGGCACCGGGCCCTCTCAGACGGCGCCTGTCCCCTCCCGCCCCAACCAGAGGCCCGTTCGTTGCACGATCCCCAGGGTTTCCAGGCACCGGAACCAGCACCGCCGAGACTCACCCAGCAGGCGAGAATGAGACGGTGACAGTAACTGGGGTCCCTCCCAGCGAGCCTCTCAGCAGGCCGGGGGGACTGACGGCGCTCACAGCGGCAGTGAGACTCATTCTACAGCCCAGACTGTCTGTTCCCTGCCCGGTCAGGGTTGAGAGTGAAGGCGGCAGGGGAGGGAGGGGAGGACAGAGGGCTGTGTTTGTTCAAGTTGACAAACCGAGGTCTCATGGAGTCAGTCTATCCCTAAGCGAACGGACCCCAGGCGGCGAGTTACCGAAGTCGGGAAGGGCCCTGGCCGGTGTGGCTCAGTGGATAGAGTGTCAGCCTGTGGACTGACGGGTCCCGGGCTCATCCGGTCAAGGACACGTACCTCGTACCTACCTCGGTTGCAGGCTCGATCCCCCGCCCCGGTTGGGGAATGTGTGGGAGGCAACCAATCGGTGTGTCTCTCTTATATCAATGCTTCTCTCTGTGTCTCT